GTTGTAAAACTCTATTATCTCGGGTTTGTTTGTAAGTGGATCTATATCTCCAAGGGAATGCATGGATGAGATTAGAATTACGTTTTTATTTTTTTTTTTGGGACGTACGACACTTATCATTTTTTCATCATCGTACAAAAATCTTGATGTTTCAGAAGGAAGTCCTTTTACATCAATAAATGATTTTGGTATCTCCTTCTTATTTTTTCTGAGCGTGCCGACTAAAGTTAGTTTATTATTTTTAAGTTCTTCAGCCAATTAACAAGATGAAAACCAATTATCAGTCGTCACATTTCTGTTGATGTTCTTTATACATGTTGTCAGAGTCAGCACATATTGTGTTGGTAACAGCAAATCACTTTGCTGTCTGGCTTCGTTGCTAACATATGGGGTTCCTCCACAGAAATAATATATTCTAGCATCGCAAACCGAAACAATTTTTAATCCGTACTTATCAGGTTTATTTGGAATGTACATTTTGAATGGACATCTGCCTCTAAAACTGAGCAAAGTCTCATCAACGGTGACAAAGGTGAGCAAGTTTAATATCTATTATTTTATTCAATGTGTATTTTTTATTATTTAAGGTTGCACTTATCCTTGGAATATCAGTAGTATGCCGAAAGCAGGAGCTCACACAGTTGACTATAAACGATATAAGGATTTCGGTACAGCAGCTGTGATAAAAATAGATAACACAGAAAACCAAGTATCCAGAAAATTCTCGATTACTGTACTGTTTTATACCATATTTAAAAAATATGCCAATCTTTGGCCACCAACCACTTAATTATAAAAATAAAAAATGCACCTAACAAGTAGTAGGTATAAACAAAATGGGTACTGTGCCAAAGGTAGTGGCCAAGTTTTTAAATCTTCCGAATCCAGAACAATATACTGGCCACACCTTTGGGCGTTCTTCTGCAACAATTTTGGTAAATACAGGAGCAGATCTTGCTGCATTAAACCGCCACGGGGGATGGAAATCCTCTACCCTGGCCAAGCAGTTCGTAGATGACTCTGCAACTAATAGATTAATGACTGCTAATAAAATAATGAACACCATTCGCAGCACAAGCACATTCAACGAAGAGGTTGCATGTAAAAACATTAAACAATACTCTGAACAAAATGCTGAAACTACACAACCCAGATACAGTGCAAGTTTGTGTACTTCATCTATAAAGCAACAAATTAATGTAGATCCACAAGAGAAAATTAACACATATATTAGGGGAACCACTGAGAATAATAATAATGCAACATTACAAAATCCACTGCAATTTAGCAAATGTTATAATAACAATTTTACTTTTAACTTTTATAACGTCCCAGAAAAAAAGTAAAACAAAATTAATAGTAGTTATTCAGTTCATACAGTTTAGTTACAAATATTTCCTTAATATTATATTAGTTATCTCTAGTTTAGTTACAAATAATTTTTATCCATTCCATTAGTTATCTCTACTTTAGATGTAAATTCTTATAAACTATTCTGTTACTATCTCTGCTTTAATTGTAAATGTTTCTTATTGTTAAATTAGTTCTTGTTCTGCTTTAGTTGTAAATATTTTTTAAACATTGTATTAGTTCTTGTCATTTCTACTGTTACAAAATGAAAAACATTTTGGAGGACTTTTTTACTTTTTCAACACATGTGCGATATACTTTTCAGTACATGTGTGATATGGTTTAATTGACTTTCTCATTTAAAAAAGACGTTTTTTTAAGGATTTTGTGTGTGGTCGTAGGAAAAATAGTATACACCACTCGTAAGAAAGTGTATTTCTCGCACTAGTGCGGAAAATTCACTCTTTCAACACTAAAGTGAGTGCGGAAAAGTGGACTTTTCCGCACGCTAGTAGAAATAGTATATTACATTACGAGTGTGGAAAGTGACATTTTTCACACGAGTGGGAAATATAGTCGCACGAGGCGCAAGCCAAGTGCGACTATCACACGAGTGTGGAAAATCACTTTTCACACAAGTGATGTACAATATTTTTCCTACGACCACAAAATAATGTCATCAAAAAAATGTAAAACCAAGGTTATTATTACTATAATAATTAAAATGTATTTAAAAAAATAATCAACAATAATCGTATTTATTCAATTTTCATATTTTCTAAACAAAAAAAACTAAAAAAAATAAAAAAAAAATAAAAAAAAATAAAAAAAAAACAAAAAAAAAATTCTGCCCCGACAGGATTTGAACCATAGATTGAACGCGGTCGAAAAATGGCAAAATTGATAAGTTCGACGTCCTAACCAGCTGAGCTAACAGCCCTTGTGTCAATTGAATGATCTAATCGGTTATGTCTTTAACCAAAATAAAGAGCAAACATTATTTTAAAATTATTTTAATAATAATTGTTAAAGATAAATATCTAGGATCTAATTTACAACAATTTCAATAATTTAACAAACATATCGATTTTAGTATTAATATGGATATTACATAGATCAAAATAGAAATTAGCTTACAAAATAATATCAAAAAAATGTAAAACCAAGGTTATTATTACTATATTAATTAAAATGTATTTAAAAAAATAATCAACAATAATCGTATTTATTCAATTTTCATATTTTCTAAACAAAAAAACTAATAAAAAATAAAAAAAAAACAAAAAAAAAATTCGGCTCCGCCAGGATTTGAACCATAGATTGAACGCGGTCAAAAAATGGCAAAGTTGATAAGTTCGACGTCTAAACCAACTGAGCTAATGGGCCTTACGTCAATTGAATGATCTAATCGGTTATGTATTTACCCAAATTAAAGAGCAAACATAATCTTAGTTATTTTAAAATTATTTTAATAATAATTGTTAAAGATAAATATCTAGGATCTAATTTAAAACAATTTCAATAATTTAACAATCATATCGATTTTAGTATTAATATGGACATTACATAGATCAAAATAGAAATTAGGCGTTTGACATTTTTTAACAACTACTGCGGAAAGTAACATATTCTCACTTGGGTGGAAAGTAAATTCTTAGTCATACGCGTGTGATATAGGACACTTTCCATAGGACTATATAGTGTGATATGTGTCACTTTCCTAAGTGGTCGTAGGAAAAACTCTTTTGCTTCATTTAATTGAGTTCTTATCACAAAATATATAACTATTCGCTTTCATGAGCAGCCTTGTATTGCTTTTTTGTTAGATCTTATCATGAATAAAGTGAACAAAATACTATTATTATATTTCCTTTGAATTTTGTGGAGCCATTTGAAATTACAAAGGTAAGTATGATTCAAATGCAACGCAAAGTATATATCATTTATAATACCATTATGCAATAGCATAGCCTTTGACCTAATAATTCTAACAATTGAAGTTCCAACAATAGATGCAGACTGCATCATTTTGCGAGAAGAGTCCCATTAGATGCGACTTTGAATAACATACGAGTCGTTTTATGTTATATGAGTGATGTGTCATGTCGTGTTACTTTTAATTTCCACTGGGAAATGGAAAACGCGAACAAAACAAGAATTTGCGCGATATAATGTATTTTGTATTCATTGTGAATTGATAACACGCTTTTTTTGTTTTCAAATTTGACAGAGATTTGACACAAAAATTGACTGTCGTGGGATTTGGCGTAACTTAAATGGAGGTCACACTGATTTTCGGTGACACCGTTATATTGTTCGGTTTTAAAGCAGTCAACGAATTTTGTTTTATACACTTTTAATTGGACAGTTGATATTTAGTATGAGTTTAATTTAAAAATATGTATTCTGTAATACTTAACTCAGTTTGTACAAAGAAATTGAATAAGTCGAAAGAAATAAAAAACAATGGAGTTAAATTCGAGGTAGCTCTGGAATCTGATAGATTTCACTAGAGAAGCGTGGGGGAATTAGTCCAGTAACTGAAGACCTGAAAATATGCAAAGCTGTCATTAAGTCGGTCCAGATTTCTTTTGTGTCTCAATTCTTAGGTCTTAACGGTTGATTTTAAGGGCGAAAACTTTAACCAACACTGCTGGGTCGGAAAGGGCTCAAAATGACCCCCAAAGTCCGAAAAAATGGTTTCCCGCTAATAGCTGCCAAAATATACAAATTAGACAATTTTTGTTTAGACAAAAAATGAAGATCGTATCATTATCTACAAAAATGGTTCCTACCAATTTTTCGCAGGACGAATATTATTTGTAAAAACGGCCTTCGAAAAAGCCCGAATTTTTGCACTGAATAGAAAAGTTAGTTTCTCACTGAATTTCCGCTCGAGGGAGTTGGGAATACATTGATTCTGGTTTTGTACTTTGGAGACCAATTGAAGGGCTCGGTGCAAAAACCGGTCAAGTCCACTTTTGTAAAATGTTCAGAAATTGATAAAAACTTTATCAGAAGAAGAAACACATGATTTAGTTTTGGGAGTCTTAGTTTTTAGATAGAAGAGGTTAACAGCTAATATTTATTTAAGAAAATAAGGTGTGTTTTGAAAAAGGTGTTTCATGAAAAAAAAAACAAGATTGTGGAGATGTCCGTTTCTTGCACAGAAAAAAAAAACAAAAAAAAAACATTATTTAATTCAAAAGACAACCTGTTTATTAAAAGAAATACTATAATGTATGAATGTATGACAACATTTTTATCAAAAAACAAACAATGTTAGTGAGAAAACGTCAAAACATAGTTGGTAAAAATTGCGAAAGCCTACTTAAAATATTTTAAAATATTTCGGTTTCAACTTCTTGATCGCTGTCGTCAGTGTTTTCTTGATTTGATTGCTGCGTACTATTAGCACTTCGTACTTGCTCATAATACCACATATATTATGATTAATGCTCAAAGGAAAAGACTCGAAAAGTTTAGTTTTTGGCAATGCTAATACGGTATTTGGTTTTTTGATAGCAAATGACGAAAAAACTGCGAAACCAGCTGTCTCACTACACTCGATGACATTCTTCTTTTCGTATCTAAATAAACGGTATTTGGAAATACGAAATTTTTCATTTAACCGATTTAACCGATTTAACCTGTAAAATTAAGAATCATATCTTGTTTCACTTCGATTACACGGAATTTTTTTGATGTCTTCTTAACTAAATTTATCCAATCATATGGCAAGTAAACAATCTCTTTCTTCCTCTTTTCCTTTTCAATAAGACCGAAGCAACGGTCGCACGGTAGAAAACTGTGTCCCGGTTCTGAAAACTGATGGATAATCTGGCGAATACGTGAACCCGAAATGTTCATGAAAGTGTGCAAATATTCAACTAAAGTATGGTTTTTATTTTGTGCAAAACAGTTGTCCGAAAATAAGTAAAGCGTGGTTACATCTTCAGAAACATAATTAGTTATGTAATGATGTAAAAAACTGATGACTTCATTGTATCCTTTTTTCGCCGTCATTTCATCATACATGTAGAAAGTAGCTAGTTTTGTTTTAGAGGAATGAATACAGAAGTTGTACTCCCACAACTGTCGTTTGTAAAATAAGTCACCCGATGGAATATGGGGCAGAGGTAGATTCTGCTGATAGTCAAAATATTAAACGTCGACTCCTCCACCTTTCGCAAGTTCTGTAGCTTCTTTCAACTTTTTGTAAAACACTTCTGCTTTTTGTATGTGCAAACGTTTGTCACCCTCCAGAATAACTTTTCTTTCTGCATCGTTTTCTGCAGCTATTATGTTAGTAAGATGGTCGCACTTCTGACAGGTATCAGATCTTGCGTGGCCAAAACTAAGGTTGTGATTAAGATTAAATTGCCGATTGTAGAAGTCGTATCTAACTTTCGGATTTATACCTTTGTATTCTTTACCATTTTCCAGTAGCTGATGTTGTTCTAACTCAAATTTTTCGAGGTAAAGTCTATACATTTTAAATATATTTAATTCTGAAGACAAAAAATATTTTTTCTGATTATCGTGTCTGCTATAGTGCGACTTTCTTCTCGGAAAACTTGCAATATGTTCATTTATTTGGTTAACTATTTCCTCGGGGATTCTATTTGGCCTATTTGAATGTTGTCCACGTTTATCTGATGGGGACATAATGTGGCCTTCAGCTAAACTTTTAGCTATTCTTGAAACTTGATGCTTTGTGATCGCATGTAATGAACAAAAATCCTTTTTACATATTTTAGTTTCTTGAGCTCCGAGACGTATCTAAAAAGAGATGCTTTATGTTACAAAAAAATGTTTATAAAAAATATATTTTTATTGTACGTAAAAGTTATGTTATTGTTATTATTGTTACCTTATACTGATAGGAAACAGTTTTTTCTTTTCCTTCGCCTGTTGTTGGTTGCTTACGCTGCACGTCCAAAACTGTTATCAGATCACCTAAATATGTGTCTTGTCTATTTTTATCGCCCATATCGTAGAACTGTTTAAGTATACTCTGTTTTATGGGATCACTTATTTTTGTGAAGCATTTCATTTTACAGTTGCAGTTTGGTCATGTGGTTTTCTTCGGAACCTTTTGTTTTGTCCAGTTAGTGTACTCCTCTCCCTTCGCTTTTTTTCTCTTAATGTTATTTCTTTTCCAAAAACTTGGGTTTTTACCTCTTTTTTTACCTTTTTTAAATTTTAAATTATCCTGGGCTATGCCCTGTTTATTTGCAGCAGTGTTTTCCTGGGCTATGCCCTGTTCATTTGCAGCAGTTTTTGGGTTTTGGCGGGAAATAATCTTTTACGTATCCGGCTAGGACCTGGGATATCAGGATCTGACGGTACATATTCACTACCGGAGTCAACAAATGGTTTTTCTTCACTTGAAATACTTGTATCACTCATTTTGTTTACCAATTTTTTTCACTACGGCAGTACAAAGTCACACGATCGAAACGAACGGCTAGAACGACAAGCATAGACTGACAAACGAATCTGTATTGTAACTATAAATATATTAGCAAAAATCGGTCATCTCCTGGAGGTAGCCGTTTCTTGCCCCGAAATTTCTCTTACTCAACTCCTCAATGTATATATTTCAGTTACTATAGGTTGGATTTGACTGATTCTTGTACCAATAGATGCGTAATTAGCGATTTTATGCATTAAAGCCAAAAACTAAAATTCGGCACAAAATGGAGTTGACCTGTTTTTGCACCGAGCCCTTCAATTGTAGATGGCGCCAGTGGTGTACCTCTGTTCACTAAATTATGGGGCCTATGAATGGAAATCCGGGCACCAATCGATCTTACGACAATTATTGGCGGATTCTACGGGATTTTTTCTGTAAAGTAGCGCTTGGGGTGTCTCATCTATATTGCCAAATGTTCTGTGTAATTTGCGTTGCAAAATTTAATAGAAAAGTGCAAAACATTTTTTTTTTTATATGGCAGTCTCAAATCACGCGCTTCGCCTAATAGTGGGTTACTAGTTTTAGAGTGTGATGAATATTGACCCGAGAAGACCCTTTATATTTTCTGCGTCTTCTATCGGAACAATATAGGTCCAGGATTTTAGAAAAATAAGAAAGTTTCTGAAAAATTTCTTTTATTATGAAAAACATGTTTAAAATACGAAATACATAGCAATGCTGCTTATAATTTACATACGTACAATTAATTAGAAGAGCAGAAATATGCTTGCACTTTCCACTATTTCCAGCCTTGCAAGAACAGTTCATGTTTTTCACTTTTAGTTTTTAACACGCTTTTATTAGTTTCACCTGTAAGGATGTATGTTTGTAACTCTCCTTTGGACTAAAAGCAAGTGGCTTATTACTGTCAGTATATCCCATTATCTCAAGTTCGTTCGTTGGCCGAGCGGTCTAAGGCAGGGGTCTGTCGATCGCCAGACTCACCGATCGCGGGTTCTAATCCTACGGCTGAAAAAAAAAAATATTTATTTTTTTTCAGCAATTTTTTTTAATAATTAATCGAACTAAAAAGTAAAAAATAAATATAGTTTAAAAAAACTAAAAAACACGCTTTTATGTCCATGTTTCTTGTACATCGAGCGCCCGACGCTTTTTTCATATTAAAACTAGTATTTTCCATTTATTATTGTTTTAAGCTTATTTGAAAAATTATTTTTCACTTTTTAGTTCAATGTATTATAAAAGCGTGTTTTTTAGTTTTTTTAAACTATATTTATTTATTTATTTATTTATAATTTCCAGTAGGCCCTTTATTTCGTGAGGATGAAATTTCAAGTCACTAGTTTGTAAACATAAACTACACACAACTACATTCTTTTCTTGGCTCGTAAAATCCAATTTACCACAAATAATTAAATGTCTAACATTTAACACTTCTTTATCTTCATAAACACATCTAGATGTGTTTGTACCCCCAAGATAGTCCACGTAATCGATTATGCTTAATTTCATCTCACCAAAATAATCCTTAAATACAACAAAATATACATTAGGCTACGAAATAAAAGTAAAAAATTTTGAACGTCAAAAATAACTTTAAAAATAAAATTTTTATTTATGGTAGATTGTGGTGAAACGGCACACTTACCTATAAAATAAATAGCAATCACTTCTTTTTTAGATAAAATGTTCTCTTATTAACGCTAAAAATGATAAAACAAAATTGATAAAACCAAAAGCACATTTAAAAACAATACGTAAACAAAAAACCAATGTCAGTGAAGAGGGTTCCGATGTATGCAACGATGGCGCAACGATCTTATTTTCAGATGCCTATAATTCAAAAAGTTTTAATTTTTAACTATTCATGACTAAATATAAATTGTTTTTCAACACAAAAGCAAAAATAATAGTTTGTATTAATTAAAAAGTGCAGTATCTTTTAATTTATTGATTTTTATAATTTGTTATCGTTGAGTTCAGTGGTCGCCAACCTGTCGATCGCGAGCTACCGGTAGCTCGCGGAGGCAATTCTGGTAGCTCTCACAACGATTTTAATTTAAAAAATACAAACTGCAAAAATCAGAGAAGCTTCCGAAAATTCCATAAAAAAATCTAATTGTCATAATATTAAACATAAACGGCGGCAACGTTGCGAGGAGCGATCTGCCGCTGACGCCATCAAGCTAGAATCGGCTAGAACCGACCAGCCGGACCAGCGCGTTAGTGTTCGAGAACGATCAGGATTGCTTTGAACGGGATAAATACGCACGGCGCGGCGACATTGCGCTTAGTTTAAAACTGAACGCGTAACCAACATCCAGCGGTTGGGTTAGTAGAGAACAACAAAAAATAATATTATGGCAAGCAGTTGTAAGAAGGTAAAGACATACCACTTTCATTCGGAGTGGGAAGAACAATACTTTTTTACAGAAGTTAAAGATAAAAATGTGTGTTTGTTATGTAATACTTCGGTCTTCGTTGCTAAAAAAGGAAATATTGAGAGACATCATAAAACTGTACATTCTAATTTTGTAAAATCATTCCCACTACATTCTGCCGCCAGAAAGGAGAAACTGAAACATTTAAAAAAGCAGTTAATTGGTCAACAATCAATATTTTTAAGAACAGTCGACAAAAATAAGGCTGCAACTGAAGCATCGTACCGTGTGTCCCAGATAATTGCACAAAAAAAGAAACCTTATGAAGACAGGGAAATGATAAAATAGGCGTTTTTAGAAGCTGCTGATTCGTTATTTGCCAACTTTAGAAATAAAGACGAGATAGTTTCAGCTATAAAATCTATGCAACTTTCTGCTAATACAGTGATGAGACGTGTAGAAGTAATGAGCAATGATATTTTTTTACAGTTAGGAACTGACTTAGATAACTGTGTTTATTTTTCACTTCAACTGGATGAATCAACAGATGTCGTTGACACTGCCCAGATGGCTGTGTTCGTCAGGATGGTTTTTAGTGATTTTACGATTAAAGAAGATCTTTTGAAGTTTATTCCACTGAAAGGACACACTATTGGACAGGAGTTGTTTTCTCATTTAAAAAATATTATTTCTTCCGAGAAAATTCCAATATCGAAAATGGTAGGCTTGACAACCGATGGCGCTCCAGCTATGGTGGGTTGTGATAAGGGTCTGGTGGCGTTATGTCGTAAAGATAAAACTTTTCCGCAATTTCTCTGTTACCACTGCATTATCCATCAGCAAGCATTATGTGGAAATTTCCTGAAACTAAACAACGTTATGAAACTGGTGGTAAAAATTGTAAACAAGATTAGAGCTCAAGAAAATTATTCAAAACCTTTGCCGATGAAGTTGACTGTAAATACGGGGATCCAGTCCTTCACTCTGAAGTCTGATGGTTAAGTAGAGGACGGGTGCTGAAACGTTTTAATGATGTCCTATCTGGCATA